TTATTCTAACAGATTTGTATGTATGTGTGAATCTCTAGGGTTTTCTACATGCACGATCATGTCATCTAAAAATAGAAGTAATTTTACTTCTGCCTTTCCAATTTGGATGCCTTTTACCTCTTTTTTTGCCTAAAATTGCTCTAGCTAAGACTTCCAGTACTATGTTGATGAACATCTTTTCATTTGCATAAGGGGCATTTTTACATCTTTTCTGCAAACTATGTGTTCATATCTTTTTCTTATTTTTCTTTCAGTTTTTTGGTGTTTTGTCTCAATGTTTAAGAATCCATCACAGATGAAGGATATTAGTCCTTCAACTGTGATGTATGACACATGTATTTTCTTTTAGTTTTTCAGTGGTATTTTAACTTTGTTTATGGGGTTTTTTTGCCATTCAATTTTTTTTAATGTTATGTAATCAAATTTACCAATTTTTTTTTATTACTTCTGGACTTTGAAAGACTTTCTCAACCCCAGGATTAAAGAGGAATTTACTTGTGTCCTTTTCTAATATCTGTATGGTTTCATCTTTTCCATTTATATCTCTGATACATTTGGAGTTTAATGGATTTAAGTTTGGAGGAATGGATTTAAGTTTATATTTTTCAAATGGCTACCCAGTTTCCCCAACACGATTTATTAAAAACTTGTGATCCCATTCATTTTCATCATATACTAAATTTCCAAATATACTTGGTACTATTTCTAGGCCTTCTGTTCTGCTCCACTGGTCTGTTCATCTATTATGCACTGCTACCACGCTGTTTTAATTAAAGAGACCTTGCAGTATATTTTCATGTCTGGTACAGCCACATCCCAGAAGTCTGGATAAGGATAGACATTTGTTGCAGTCGGGATGCTTGGGTGGCTCAGTCAGTTAAGCATCCAATTCTTGATTTTGGCTCTGGTCGTGATCTCAGTGTTGTGAGATCAAGCCCCATACTGGGCTCTGTGCTGGGAGTGCAGCCTGCTTAAGAGTTTCTCTCTCCTCCCTCTGCCCCACCCTGCACTCCTGCTCACTCTCTCTCTCTTTAAAAAAAAAAAAAAAAAAGTTTGTTGCAGTGACCAGATCTAATTTGATTTTGGGGCATTTTGGGTTTTGGGTTGTCTTAAATTTGCTTCAAGCCAAATCCTTATTGTGCTTTTGATAAATTATGAGAAAAATAAAAAATATAGTTAGTATACTTAATGTTTGTGAGTTAGTTGTTATAGCAGGGTTTTAAATAAGGTCTTGGTCCCCACCCTTAGACATCAGGGCTCTGCAGACTCCATGAAATTTTATGCATAATTTTTGCAGATATTTACTCACTTGGCTTTTTTCTTGGAAGAAGTTTTAAGATTCCATAAGATTTTCAAAGAGATTTTTTTTAAGATTTTATTTATTTATTTGACAGACAGAGATCACAGGTAGGCAGAGAGGCAGGCAGGGGGTGGGGAGAAGCAGGCTCGCCACTGAGCAGAGAGCCCAATGTGGGGCTCGATCCCAGGACCCCGGGATCATGATCTGAGCCAAAGGCAGGGCATAACCAACTGAGCCACCCAGGTGCCCCCTCAAAGAGATTTAAGACCCCTGAAAATTTAAGACATCTAAATATCTAAATATCTAAAATATAAGACAGTAGATACCTACTAATAGCCTCTGAGATGTCCAAAATTTGCACCCTACAGTAGGGAAACAGAAGAGGAATCTTCCTCCATCTATTACATCCCCATGATGGAGTATTATCCAGCTAATAAAAAATATGCTTACGGGGGCACCTGGGTGGCTCCGGCTGAAGCCTCTGCCTTCAGCTCAGGTCATGATCCCGGGGTCCTGGGATCGAGCCCCACATCGGGCTCTCTGCTCAGTGGCGAGCCTGCTTCTCCCCACCCCCTGCCTGCCTCTCTGCCTACTTGTGATCTCTGTCAAATAAATAAAATTTTTTAAAAAAAATCTAAATATATATATATATATATATATATATTATATATGTTTACAAAGTATTAATCAGAACAAGGAAAAGGATATCATAAACAAAATGATAAATTAAAAAGTGCTCAAATTTTGCAAAGACCCCACCCAAAAATCTTCTGATTAGTGATTAAACAGAGGAGAAATTCACTGTATATCTGACACAATGCTTTCTGCTTTGCATACACTGTCTTATTAATTTGAACTCTCCTGAAAATTGGTCATTCACAGAATGTGCTTGATAATGAGGCTGTATCAATGTACCAGGGGGTAGGAGTCAACATTTAAATGACTGTTAAAGAACTTATAGTTATCATTGGTTTCAATCACACTAATTTCCTTTTCTGTCCCTATTCGTGTCAAAGACATTTTCTCAATTGCTCATAATTTTCCTACTGCTGGGATAATAAATACCAACTACCTTTATGGTAATTTTTTTTAAATGGAAACATAACATATATAACATAACAATATTGTAACATAACATAACAATATTGTTATGATTATTATTATGAAAAATATAAACAATGCAAAAATAGAAACTTGCTGACAGAGATCACAAGTAGGCAGAGAGGCAGGCGGCGGGGGGCGGGGGGGGGAGGGGATGCAGGCTCCCTGCTGAGCAGAGAGCCCGATGCAGGGCTCCATCCCAGGACCCCAAGATCATGACCTGAGCTGAAGGCAGAGGCTTTAACCCACTGAGCCACCCAGGTGCCCCATTATGCTCTTAATATTTTGATGGATATATTTCAAATATTTTTTTCTGTGTGATTTTATAGAGGGATATCACTTATATATAAATCCTATAACCTGCCTGCCTTATTTAATAATTCATTGACCATAGTAGTACTGTTGTATTTTTTTTAAAGATTTTATTTATTCATTTGAGGGGGGCGGGGCGAGAGCACAAGCAGTGGGGAGGGATAGACGGAGAGGAAGAGAGAGACAGCAGACTCCCTGCTGAGCACTGAGCTAGTCACTGGGCATGATCCTGGACCCTGAGATCATGACCTGAGCTGAAGTCAGACATCTAACTGACTGAGCCACCTAGGCTCCCTGGTACTGTTGTATTTTAAAGATTTTTTTTTTTTTTTTTTTTGTCAGGGACAGAGGGAGAGAGAGAGAGCGAGCACAGGCAGACAGAGAGGCAGGCAGAGGCAGAGGGAGAAGCAGGCTCCCTGCCGAGCAAGGAGCCCGATGTGGGACTCGATCCCAGGACCCTGGGATCATGACCTGAGCCGAAGGCAGCCGCTTAACCAACTGAGCCACCCAGGCATCCCTGGTACTGTTGTATTTTAAAATCACTGTTTAGTATATCATTATCAAGGTCTGCCTTAATTTATTCATTTTATCGTCTATTAAAGAGTGTTTATATTTCTGTAATTCAATTATGAGCTATTCCCAAAAATATTTTTGTGTATACCACTTCATGTATTTTTTTTTTATTTCTTTTCAGCGTAACAGAATTCATTGTTTATGCACCACACCCAGTGCTCCATGCAATACGTGCCCTCCATAATACCCACCACCTGGCTCCCCCAACCTCCCACCCCCCGCCCCTGCAAAACTCTCAGATTGTTTTTCAGAGTCCATGTCTCTCATGGTTCACCCACTTCATGTATTTTTATAATGAATTCCTTTGGGACATTAGACATTTATTAAGAATTTGCTAAGATGCAAAATCCTAATCTAGAACTCAAGGAGACAAAATGCTATTTATAGTCTTAAGGGGCGCCTGGGTGGCTCAGTCAGTTGAGCAACTGACTTTGGCTCAGGTCATGATCTTGGGGTCCGAGATCAAGCCCTGTATTAGGTGTGCCCAGTTGAGAGTCTGCTTGTCCCTCTCCCTCTCCTTCTGTCCACCTCCATGCTCTCTCTGTCTTTCTCTCAAATGAATAAATAAAATCTTTTTTAAAAATTAAAAATAAGGGGTGGCTGGGTGGCTCAGTGGGTTTAAGCCTCTGCCTTCGGCTTGGGTCATGGTCCTTGGGTCCTGGGATCGAGCCATGCATTGGGCTCTCTGCCCAGCAGGGAGCCTGCTTCCCCCTCTCTCTCTGCCTGTCTCTCTGCCTACTTGTGATCTTTCTCTGTCAAATAAATAAGATCTTTTTAAAAAATTAAAAATAAATAAATAAAATAAAATTTATAATCTTGGGGCACCTGGCTAGCCTGGTCAGTAAGCACGATTCTTTTTTTTTGAAGATTTTATTTATTTATTTGACAGACAGAGATCACTAGTAGGCAAAGAGGCAGGCAGAGAGAGAGAGGGGGAAGCAGGCTCTCTCTACTGAGCAGAGAGCCCAATGCAGGGCTTGATCCCAGGACCCTGAGATCATGACCTGAGCCAAGGGCAGAAGCTTAATCCAGTGAGCTACGCAGGCACCCCAAGCATGTGATTCTTGATCTCAGGGTTGTAAGTTCGAGCCCTACATTGGGGGTGGAGATTACATAAGAGGAAAAAAAATTTTTTAAATAAATGTTATAGTCTCTATTTACCTTCTTCTTTTTTTTTTTTTTTTTTTTTTTTTTTTTTTTTTGAGGGAGAAAACCTTAAGCAGGCTCACAAGCCTTCAGTCATGACCTGAGCTGAAATCAAGAGTTGGAGCTTAACTGACTGAGCCGCCCAGGCACCCCTGTATTTACTTTTAAAGTGAAAATGTTGAAATAGGAGAGATAAAACTAGTATACAAATGTTCAAAGTAAAGAATGATAAAGGGCACTATTTACCCTGATAGTATGCTGTGAGACTTCATAAAAAGGAAATAGCTTGTATGACCAGAGCAGTCATTGTCATGTCAGGTCATGTCTAAGTCAAATTGATCTCATAAAAGCTCTGTGAAGGGAATTAGTTTTCTTGAGTCCTGTACAGGACTTGCAGTTTTCAGTCATCAGAGATCCAAAGTGTGACCAAAATGAGTTTGTAGTTGTTTGGAGAATAGTTGGGCAAGTGCAGAAACATAGCAGACTCACCTGACAAGAAGAGCTGAAAGGAAGCACTGCTCATAAGTAGGACATGGCCCTAATGACTTTTCATTCTTCCCAGGCTCAACTACAGCACACATGAATATAGCTACCAAATCAAGAAGTTTGCAACTACCGGGAGCTAACAAAGCAAAAACAAAAGCCATTCTGTGAAAATATAACTGATTTTAGAATATCCTAAGCTGTTATTTCATGTTCAAGGGAAGATTGTTTAAAAAAAAGGAAAGTAAGTATTTTCTTTTTTATTGCTATTTGGGAATAGCTTACATTTACCAGAACCTAACAAATCATTTAAAAATTGGGGCGCCTGCCTGGCTCAGTTGGGAGAACATGTAACTCTTGATCTCAGCGCTGTGAGTTTGAGCCTCATTTTGGGTGTAGAGATCACTTAAATAGATAAAACTTTTAAAAAACAACAAAAAAATTTAAAAATTAATAACAGAGTTATTGAAAAAACATACACTTAAGTAAAACTAAGAACATTGAAAATCATAGCCCAGAGGTAACCAAAGTAATCTTGAAGGATAAAACTCCCTAGATATTTTTCATCTAATTTGTCTGTCTATATTGTTTGTATTGATAAATCTTTATATTTGACAAATAGGATCCCATGATGCCCAGCTTTTTTGTAACCTGCTTTTTTTTTTCATTTAATCATACCCTAAACATTTTTTTTAAAGATTTTATTTATTTATTTGACAGAGAGAGATCACAAGCAGGCAGAGAGGAAGACAGAGAGAGAGAGGGAAGCAGGCTCCCTGCCGAGCAGAGAGCCCAATGCGGGGCTCGATCCCAGGACCCTGGGATCATGACCTGAGCCGAAGGCAGAGGCTTTATTGAGCTACCCAGGCGCCCCTACCCTAAACATTTTTATGTTAAATATTACATTACAAAATTTGTGAGTACTAAGAATTACTATTCTATAGAGATCTTTCATTTATTTAACCTATCTGCTCTTGTCTTACTTAGAATACTGAATATTGCCTGAGAATATATAAATCTCTTATTGTAATGATTTTTGGTTGATGTTTATACTAGAAAAAAGTATGTTTACATCCATAAAATGCAATACAACATGAAAGATTTCATACAGTGTGAAAAATCTCTTTGAAGTGTATAGAGTTGGAAATGAACCAGTACTACTCTGTTACTTCTGAAGATTTTTATTTATTTATTTGACAGAGATCACAAGTAAGCAGAGAGGCAGGTGGGGGCGGGGGGAAGCAGGCTGCCCGCTGAGCAGAGAGCCCAATGCGGGGCTCGATCCCAAGACCCTGAGATCATGACCTGAGCCAAAGGCAGAGGCTTTAACCCACTGAGCCACCCAGGCCCCCCTGCGCTGTTATTTCTGAAGCTTCCTCTGACTCTTAAAAAAATTCTTCTTTCTCACATCGACCATAGGCCAGAGTCTGAATTTTTATATGGTCATAATATTAGTTAGGACAGGCTGTTAAGCTGTAGTAGCAAACAACCCCCAAATCTCAGGGACTTACAGAGTAACTTGTTATTAACTTGATCATGCTGCATGTCTAATGTGTATTAGTATAGGCAGGGTCCCAGACCAAAGCAGACTCCACCAATCTATAGCTGTACCATCTGACACACAGTCCCCTAGGCTACCATATCAGGGAGTAAAAGACTGGAGAATTGTGCAGTCTTGCCAGTGCCTCAGAATGAAGGGACAGGGACACTCATCACCTTAGCTCAGATTCCATTGGCCAAAACCAGTTTATGGCCTTGCCATAAAGTCTGGAAAATGTCATCTCTGTGCCCAAAAGGAGAGGAAAAACTGGATAATGGTGAAACAGTAGTAATTCAGTTAATGTCTACAACACTGGCTAAGACCCATTTCTTTCTCTGTCTGTAGGAAGTTGCTTCTGTAAATTAAGCCTGATTTCTTTTTGGAGCAAGGAGGATATCCTGGATTGAGGGTTGACAAGAGCTCTGTGCACAGGTGAGTGAAGAGACTAAGGGAAATGGAAGGTTTTCATGTGAAAGCTCACTTTCCCTGTGGGAAGTCAGGAACTTTAAGTTATTGTTTGAGAACAAGCCTCTCAAAGGCTCTAGAACTAATGGAGGAAATCAAGCTCCTTCAGCATATAAGTTCCCAAAGGCACCTCACTGTCACTCATAAATCATTCCATGCATATTTCCTTTTATAATTCACCCCCCTAATGAAGAGGAAGGTATATATTCTATTATTTGTGATTATAAAATAGATGCTTAAGGAAAAACTTGAGAATATAGGAAAAAAAAGATTCTTTTTGTAGATACACACCTAGAGACAAATGTTGAAAAATGTAATTGAAAACCTTTTCAGTCTATCTTATGGGCACACACACATGTGTATATAGAACATAGGTATATTCTTTCTATAAAAATAGGATTACACTGTACATACTGTTTCATTAGCTACCTTATTCATCCAAAGTTGTTTGAGGTCTTAACATCAGCAAGTATATGTGTTGTTCATTTTATGGCAACTCTGTTTCTATGGTGTGAATATACTGTAATTTATTTATTTAATCAGTCCTCCTTTTAAGTTCTCTCCAAGTTGTTTCCGATGTCAGCAGTGTCTCCATCATGTAGCCCCCACATGTCTTTCAGATAGTCTCAGCTATGGAATTGCTTCATCAGAGGACATACCTAGTTTAATTTCTGCTAACATTGCCTTGTTGGACATTTATAAACCAAAACCCACTGTGCGTGTGATGGTTAATAGTAATCTCAAGTACTAAGGTCTAAAACACAACTCATAATTGGTTTATTCAGACCGGCTCCTCTCACGCTTCTCTGTGTTATAAAATGACAACCTCATACTTCCATTTACTCAAGCCAAACAGCTTAGTGTCATCATGGCTTCTTCTTCTTCCTCTTTTTTTTTTTTTTTCCTTTGCTTTCATAACTAAAAGTAGCAAATCCTACCTCATGGCTTCTTCTTCTTCCTCTTTTTTTTTTTTTTTTTCCTTTGCTTTCATAACTAAAAGTAGCAAATCCTACCAGCTCTACCTTCAGAGAATATTTAATCTGGTCAGTTTTCATCACCTCTCCCCCGCCACCACCTCGTACAAGCCCCCTCACCCGTTGCCTGGGTTACTGCAGTAACCGTCCACTTGTCTCCCTGCTTCCTCCCTTGTCTTCTTAGTTCACTTTCTATGAGTGATCCTTCTCAGTGTAAATCAGGTTACAGCATTCCTTGTCTTAAAACATTTTAGTGGTTCCTGTCTTACTAAAGAGTAAAAAACCAAAGTTCTTACTGTGGTGCCCAAGCCCCATGTGACCCAGCTTCCAGCTACCTCTCACGCAAGTGAGCTTCTGACCCTCCTTCTCTTGCACACTCCATTCCAGCCACCCTAGTCTCTTTATTAATTCAAGAAAGCCTGCTTCTGCCTTGAGGCATTTGCAATTGCTGTTACCTAATCTAGGAATGCACTCCTCTCAGATACCTGCATTTTTCACTCTATTCAGTCTGTCCTTACATATCACCTCAATGAAAAGCCTTCTAGAGCCACCCTTCCTTCCCCCAAGCTCCCTATCCTCTTACTCTTCTTAATTTTTCTCCACAGGACTTTGGCCACCTGATATCTAAATAGGAATATCAGCGTCAGTGTATCAATTTGTTATTGTCTCTTTCCATTAGAATGTGAGATGCACTGGGACAGGGACTGGATTTATTATCTCACACCTAGAACCATGCCAGTTGAGGTAGGATCTCAGTCAATTTGAAAGAATTTTTGACTCCTCTTTCTCTGCCTACATATCTGATTAGATGCCAGAGCCTGTTGATTTTACTTCTCTACATCTTCAAATTATACCCTTTCTCCTTATTTCCACTCTCACTATTCCGGGTCAGGTTCTTTGCTTACAAAAGTATAAGCACCTTTCAGTTGGTCTCTCTGACTCCAATTTTGCTTCTCTCCACTAAAAGAATCTGGCTATATTGGCCTTATCACTTCCCTCTGTAAATTCTTCAGTGGCCTTCCATTCCTTACTGGGTGAAAAGCAAACATTTATATTTAAGTTAGTATTCACTGGACCCTTCTCCTCCAGACACTGTGGCGAGTGCCAGTCACAGTGATGATGAGACCTGGTCTTTGCCCTCATTATTATCTTATTTCATTCATTTGTCTTCATTTTCCAACCCCTGATGTCATCTCCAGCATTATCTTCCTCTAGATTCTAGAACTAATTAAATTTAAATTTAATTAAAATTCAGGAAAAAAATTCAATCCCTCAGTTGTGCTAGGCACTTTTTAATTGCTGATGGCTACGTTATTGACAGTACAGATACAAAGATTTCCATCACTGCAGAAAGATTTGTTGGACAGCACTGGTCTAGACCTTTCCCCAAACTATAGAACTCATTCCAAATAATACACCAAATACTTTGGTCCACTGTTTTTGTCATTGCCTTTCACCGATCAGAATATTCTTCTGTACCTTTTCTGCCTAATGAAATTCTCTGATTTTTAAGTTCCAATTCATATTCTTCAACTTACAAGACATTTTCCTTGACACCACTGCCATTGAGTAAGTTAGTCTTCCTTCTGACCCACCCATCCGCAAACCATAGGAAGCTTCTTGCACCTCTGAATAAACCAGTCTTACTCCCCTCCTTAAAACCCCGGAGTTCTTGTTACTTTGAGGTACAGGTGATTTTTCACAGAACTCCAGTCTTAGCAAATACCAACCAGTGAGGAAGTGATGTTCTGTGGGAACAGATGGAAAGTTAGGAGTACTGGCCCAAGAGCCTTCTAGAATTTGAGTTCCCATTCAGGTCAATACTCTGGGTATTCAGATGTGCTTGTAAGATACCTTTTACTGTGATTTTCTTATTCCTGTCTGGTGAGCCCAGCCAAGGTTGGAGTCTTTGATGAAGCCTCTGGTGTAGGTGGTGTTTCTTTCTGGACTTAGAAGGAGGAAGTAGGGATGCCTGGGTGGCTCAGTCAGTTGAACGTCTACCTTAGGCTCAGGTCATGATCCCAGAATCCTGGGATCCATCCCTCTGTTGGGCTCCCTGCTCAACAGGGAGTCTGCTTCTCCCTCTGCTGCTCTCCCTGCTTGTGTACTCACTCACTCTCTCGCTCTCTGTCAAATAAATAAAATCCTAAAAAAAAAAAAAAAAAAAAAAGGAAGTAGATTCAGGGAAGTACCCAGGAGGTTTTGCCTGTTGAGCCCGGAAAAGCTGGAAGACTTTGTTTAGGGATATCTTTTTCTCAAAGTTTGGCCTCCTTGAGAATGAACTTATACCTGCGCTGCTATGCTCCTGGCCTGTGGGTACGGCCTTCAGCCTTAGTGGGTAAAGTAAGTGAGTCTGAGTTTTGATCCTCCTTGTAGCAGCTGCAGAGGAAGATCACCTTGGACCAGGTGGGAGCCATCTAGGCCCCGTATAGAGTATAGATTAGTATCGGCAAGACAAGGAACTGTTGAGGGCTCCTGGGTGGCTCAGTTGGTTAGGCAACAGCCTTCGGCTAGGGTCATGATCCTGGAGTCCCAGGATCGAGTCCTGCATTAGGCTCCCTGCTCGGTAGGATATCTGCTTCTCCCTCTGATACTCTCCTCTTTCATGCTCTCAAATAAATAAATAAAGTCTTTTAAAAAATAAAAATAAAAAGTATTAAAAAAAAAAAAAGATGACAAGGAACTGTTCAGGCTGGAATCTGTCCTGCCAAGGCAGTCGGATTCTATGTGAGTTCTGGAGCACATCTTCGTTGATCCATCTCTTAGTTTCCCTAGAGTTTTGGGAGTGGCTGGGTTTTGTTAACTCTGTAGTTCTTGATATTAGTGTTGGGTGGTAGGACAAGAGGGAGTGCAAGAGAATCAGAGTAGAGACATTGGAAGTACAGTTGTTTTAAGGTCCTCTATCTAGGAGTGCTCAGGCAAGCTCAATTAATGAGAAATTTCCCTTTTTCCCACTAATCTGCTTTTTCAGGACTCTGCACTTATCCAAGAGAAGAATCTAAAGAAATCAGAACAGCTCAGGTAGTTTTAGACGCCATGGCACAGGTAAGTTGAAATTACCTCTATCCATGAAATAATCTTTCTTCCTTTCAAATCATATGAACATTTGTGTTCTTTATGCTGAAACTTCCCTGTCTCGCTGAGCCCCATTCTCGTTCCCAGTCCTCCATTCCAGAGGTTTCTCTACTTCCTCACCAACATGTGTTATTTTGGTTTTTTGGTAATAGTCATCCTAAAGGATATGAAGTGGCCTCTTCTTATGGGTTTGATTTACTTTTTCCTAATGATTAGTGGTATTGAACATCTTTTCAAATGGCTTATTGGCCATTCATAGATCTTCTTTGAAGAAATCACTACTCAAGCACACCTCCGTGGCTCAGTTGGTTGGACATCAGCCTTCGGCTGGAGTCAAGTCCCACATTGGGCTCCCTACTCTGTAGGGAGCCTGCTTCTCCCTCTGCCTCTGCCTCTCTCTGTGTCTCTCATGAATAAATAAATAGAATCTTAAAAATAGAGAGAGAAATCACTACTCAAATTCTTTGCTTAGTTTTTAATTGTTTTGTCTTTTTTGAATTGTAAGTTGTTGTATTATAAGAGTTCTTCATATATTCTGGACACAGGTCCCTTATCAGATAAAAGATTTGCAAGTATTTTCTCCCAGTTTTGTGATTTGAATTTTACCTTCCTCCCTTCCTCCCTCCCTCCCTCCCTCTCTCACGGACCAGCCTACCTACCTGCCTGCCTGCCTGTCTGCCTTCCTTCCTTCCTTCAATAGAGGGAGGGGGTGGCAGGGCAGAGGGAGAGGGAGAGTATCTTAAGCGCAGGCTCCTCCACACAGCATGGAGCCTGAAGTGGGGCTTGATCTCACAACCCTGAGATCATGACCGGAGACAAAATCAAGAGTCAGATACTCAACCAACTGAGCCACCCGGGCATCCTGAGATTTTTACTTTCTTTGATGGAATCACTTGTAGCACAAACATTTTTAGTGTTGATTAACTTTATTTTAACGATTTGTCCCTTTGTTACTGTGTTTGATGCCATGTCTAAGAAACCACTGCCTGACCAAGGTCATAAAGTTACACTACCTTTTTTTTTTTTTTTTTTAAAGTTGTAGTATTGGCTCTTGAACCTTATATTTAGTTCTACAACCTATTTTGAGTTAATTTTTATATATGGTTATGAGGTAGGGGTCCAATTTAATTCTTTGCATATGAATATCCACCTGTCCCAGCACTATTTGTTAAAAAGACTGATCTTTCCCTATTGAATTATCTTAGTTGACTTAATTTAACATGTGGTAGTCATTAGGGAACTGAACAGAGGTTATAGATTGGCAAGGGAAATTAAATGATTATTAGTAGTAATAATGGTATCATTAATGATAATCCTTTTTTCCTACCTGGAGTGCAGAAGATTCCTTGTTACTTTTCTCCAACCAGGTTTTCTTTGGAGCCCAGGATTTCAGAAAGTAGCTCTTCTAAGATCCCAACTTTAAACTGAGGATTATAGCCACTCACTCCATTTGATATGTGTCCTAGGCCCCATACTAAAGTTAATCCCCAAACTGTTTGACTTCAGGGTGGCCCCTGTAAAATATTTGCTTATCTCTCTGTGTTGAATTGCATGTGTGTGTGGTGTGTATTGTTTTCTCATTGTTGTCACCCCTGGGATTTAATTTTCCTTACCTTCTCGAGAACTTAGAGAAGCATTAAATGGGTGTTATAATTTTTCCAAAGCCTAGGTGTTTGCAGTAGAAGCCTCCCCATCCTTGCCGTGTAAACATGGTCAGAGCTGGAGTGGTTGGTCTTGGTCTTAGTGTGTGGTGACATCTCCTATTTTATAAGGCCTTCAGGATGGGGACTGTGATTAGAAACTTCAGTTACAGAAAGGTCTTTGGTCTTGCAGGGAATTTATGAGAAACAAATAACCATAAAATGTCCATTTTGAGGTTGAACAACAGTTTTCATTGCGGGCCACATTTATGTGACTGAGGTACACCCTCCATCAGCTTTCTTATTTCAGGAATAAGGAAAAGTGGATGGTGAAGAATGATAGACATGAAAGATTTTGTAGATCTTGTTTAAGTTAGATGCTCCCAAGTAATGGGATGATTACATCTTATAGGACATAAGGTGCTTGTTATACAGGAAATAAAAATCCCCATTTACTATAAAATTTGCCATCACAAAAATATGCATATGATGTCTAATAAGCTGCTTCTCAGTGGAGACACTCTCAGCATTCTCAGCAGTACGGTTCTTTATTGTATGGGACTGTCCTGGGTACATGGCCCAGATAAACCAGGACACTTAACATTCCTGATGCAGGGCACTAAAAGTCAGCAGCGCACTGCCCCCAGTCCCTCAAGTACCATGTCAGCCTCCCTGCTCACCTGGAAGTCTGCTTCTCCCTTTGCTGCTGCTTTCACTGCTTGTGCTCTCTCTCTCTCTCTCTCTCTCTCTGACAAATAAATAAATATTTTTTTAAAAAAGGAATATTCAAAAGCATGTAAGCCTTTAGTCAAATAAATGTGCTTTTTATACTACCTTCATGGCATAGGCATCCCACCTAGCTTGCTTGCTTGCTTACTTGATCACCTCCTTCCTACAATACGCTTCTCCATCTCCCCTCTCTTTCCATCTTTCAGACAGTTTTCTGGATGAGTCAGGTTGTCAAAACCTAAACCTACTAATCAATTTTTTTAAAGATTTTATTTATTTATTTGACAGAGATAGATCACAAGTAGGCAGAGAGGCAGGCAGAGAGAGAGAGAAGCTCTACCTTCAGAGAATATTTAATCTGGTCAGTTTTCATCACCTCTCCCCCGCCACCACCTCGTACAAGCCCCCTCACCCGTTGCCTGGGTTACTGCAGTAACCGTCCACTTGTCTCCCTGCTTCCTCCCTTGTCTTCTTAGTTCACTTTCTATGAGTGATCCTTCTCAGTGTAAATCAGGTTACAGCATTCCTTGTCTTAAAACATTTTAGTGGTTCCTGTCTTACTAAAGAGTAAAAAACCAAAGTTCTTACTGTGGTGCCCAAGCCCCATGTGACCCAGCTTCCAGCTACCTCTCACGCAAGTGAGCTTCTGACCCTCCTTCTCTTGCACACTCCATTCCAGCCACCCTAGTCTCTTTATTAATTCAAGAAAGCCTGCTTCTGCCTTGAGGCATTTGCAATTGCTGTTACCTAATCTAGGAATGCACTCCTCTCAGATACCTGCATTTTTCACTCTATTCAGTCTGTCCTTACATATCACCTCAATGAAAAGCCTTCTAGAGCCACCCTTCCTTCCCCCAAGCTCCCTATCCTCTTACTCTTCTTAATTTTTCTCCACAGGACTTTGGCCACCTGATATCTAAATAGGAATATCAGCGTCAGTGTATCAATTTGTTATTGTCTCTTTCCATTAGAATGTGAGATGCACTGGGACAGGGACTGGATTTATTATCTCACACCTAGAACCATGCCAGTTGAGGTAGGATCTCAGTCAATTTGAAAGAATTTTTGACTCCTCTTTCTCTGCCTACATATCTGATTAGATGCCAGAGCCTGTTGATTTTACTTCTCTACATCTTCAAATTATACCCTTTCTCCTTATTTCCACTCTCACTATTCCGGGTCAGGTTCTTTGCTTACAAAAGTATAAGCACCTTTCAGTTGGTCTCTCTGACTCCAATTTTGCTTCTCTCCACTAAAAGAATCTGGCTATATTGGCCTTATCACTTCCCTCTGTAAATTCTTCAGTGGCCTTCCATTCCTTACTGGGTGAAAAGCAAACATTTATATTTAAGTTAGTATTCACTGGACCCTTCTCCTCCAGACACTGTGGCGAGTGCCAGTCACAGTGATGATGAGACCTGGTCTTTGCCCTCATTATTATCTTATTTCATTCATTTGTCTTCATTTTCCAACCCCTGATGTCATCTCCAGCATTATCTTCCTCTAGATTCTAGAACTAATTAAATTTAAATTTAATTAAAATTCAGGAAAAAAATTCAATCCCTCAGTTGTGCTAGGCACTTTTTAATTGCTGATGGCTACGTTATTGACAGTACAGATACAAAGATTTCCATCACTGCAGAAAGATTTGTTGGACAGCACTGGTCTAGACCTTTCCCCAAACTATAGAACTCATTCCAAATAATACACCAAATACTTTGGTCCACTGTTTTTGTCATTGCCTTTCACCGATCAGAATATTCTTCTGTACCTTTTCTGCCTAATGAAATTCTCTGATTTTTAAGTTCCAATTCATATTCTTCAACTTACAAGACATTTTCCTTGACACCACTGCCATTGAGTAAGTTAGTCTTCCTTCTGACCCACCCATCCGCAAACCATAGGAAGCTTCTTGCACCTCTGAATAAACCAGTCTTACTCCCCTCCTTAAAACCCCGGAGTTCTTGTTACTTTGAGGTACAGGTGATTTTTCACAGAACTCCAGTCTTAGCAAATACCAACCAGTGAGGAAGTGATGTTCTGTGGGAACAGATGGAAAGTTAGGAGTACTGGCCCAAGAGCCTTCTAGAATTTGAGTTCCCATTCAGGTCAATACTCTGGGTATTCAGATGTGCTTGTAAGATACCTTTTACTGTGATTTTCTTATTCCTGTCTGGTGAGCCCAGCCAAGGTTGGAGTCTTTGATGAAGCCTCTGGTGTAGGTGGTGTTTCTTTCTGGACTTAGAAGGAGGAAGTAGGGATGCCTGGGTGGCTCAGTCAGTTGAACGTCTACCTTAGGCTCAGGTCATGATCCCAGAATCCTGGGATCCATCCCTCTGTTGGGCTCCCTGCTCAACAGGGAGTCTGCTTCTCCCTCTGCTGCTCTCCCTGCTTGTGTACTCACTCACTCTCTCGCTCTCTGTCAAATAAATAAAATCCTAAAAAAAAAAAAAAAAAAAAAAGGAAGTAGATTCAGGGAAGTACCCAGGAGGTTTTGCCTGTTGAGCCCGGAAAAGCTGGAAGACTTTGTTTAGGGATATCTTTTTCTCAAAGTTTGGCCTCCTTGAGAATGAACTTATACCTGCGCT